CAAAACTGAGTGCAGTTGGAAGAAAACAATTTCTCAAAATCTCTAAAAAATTAATCATTTGGTGAGGATATGATAAGTAAATTCTCCATAATTGCCACTTTGAAATTAGATTTAAGTAAATCTGCCACTTTATCTTCAGTGTTTTTTTGTTTTGTTTTGTTTTGTTTTTGTTTTTTGCTTTATAAACAATGAAGCTGTTCATCTCACTGAGTTGTTATTTTGGGGCACGAAAAAGTGCAATATACAGATTCATTAACTTGTAATGGCTCGTTTTAGTTTCTCATTGAATCGATTTTTGAGACAATTACTAATTTGATTTTTTCCTCTACTTCTCTACTCTCTAAGTAAAAGGGTATTTTACTTAGGAAAATGTGAATAAAGATAGTGTTGGTTAGAATGCTCAGAAAAGAGATTTTTAAATCTTATTTTAGAAGTGGTGATATCATGCTCATAAACTTTAAATTTTCTTTGTTTCTTTTCTCCTTTTCCTTCTTTGTGAGGCTTTGAGAATAACAAGAGGCATGTCCAAAATTCCCTCTAGCAAGGGAATTAGGTAGGGACAGAAATACATAAACATACTTTGTACATTCTTAATCACTAAATATTTCCAAAGAAATTTTAAAAGTTTCTTTAACAATCTTCGATTTTACAGACAGAAAAAGGACCAAAGTTTGCTTTTTCCACACATTTTAGTAAACACATACCTCTAAAACAAAAAAGAAATTGGACTAAACTTACCAGGTCTTCCATTATTAGCAAGAATGTATTGAGAGCTTCTTAGATGCAGTCCAAACTATTAAACGCAGACCTTCTCTTTAGGGGCTTCCTATTTAATTGGGATGTAACTCAATCTATTAGAGATAATTAAGTAGAAATTAAATGACTATTAATTTTAGACACACAAAAGTCATTTCACTTTGGTAAAATGGAAGAAATATTCATCCACCTGGCCAATAAATGTTGAGCATCAGTTATGTTATATATAATAAGGTGTTTTGTGAAGGTAAAGGTAATATTTGAAATCCTGATAAAGGTTTGCTTTTATTTGCCTTCATTTATGTCACTTTTACTCAAGAAAATTCCCTTGATATTTTTGCTAATAAACGTTTCATTAAATTTTTTTTTTTTTTTTGAGAACAGAAATCGATGGGGCACTTGGGTTTCTCAGTCCTTTAAGTGTCTGCCTTTGTCTCAGGTCATGATCCCAGGGTCCTGAGATAGAGCCCTGCAACAGGCTCCTCCTTCTCCCTCTCCCATTCCCCCTGCTTGAGAATGCTTCCCCTCACTCTCTGTCTGTCAAATAAATAAATAAGTAAAATCTTTTTTAAAAATTGATAAAATAGGCTTAAATTTCATGAATTCTTTAGAAAAGTCATTACATGGATTATAGTTCTTAGAATTGCTTAGAATGAAATAAAAATATATGTATATATAATATATATATAATATATATAAAATATATATATTTTTCTATTATATATTTTCAAATATATATATTTGTGTGTGTGTGTGTGTGTGTTTGAGAGAGAGAAAGAGTATATTTTAGCACTCTAGATTAAGTTCTATTACATGAATAGTAATGAACATGAAATTATCTTAAAAGTCAGGGCACCTGGTTGTCTCAGTCATTTTTTTTTTTAAAGATTTTATTTATTTATTTGACAGACAGAGATCACAAGTAGGCAGCGAGGCAGGCAGAGAGAGAGGTGGAGGCAGGCTCCCTGCGGAGCAGAGAGCCCGATGCGGGGCTCGATCCCAGGACCCTGGGATCATGACCTGAGCTGAAGGCAGAGGCTTAACCCACTGAGCCACCCAGGCGCCCCGTCTCAGTCATTTAAGCAAGCTTCTGACTCTTGATTTTTGGCTCAGGTCATGATCTAAGGGTGATGAGATCAAGCCCTGTGTCGAGCTCTGTACTGGGTGTGGAACCTGCTTAAGATTCTCTCTCCCTCTTCAAATTAAAACCACCTTGAGATACCACCTTACACCAGTTAGAATGGCCAAAATTAGCAAGACAGGAAACAACCTGTGTTGAAGAGGATGTGGAGAAAGGGGAACCCTCTTACACTGTTGGTGGGAATGCAAGTTGGTGCAGCCACTTTGGAGAACAATGTGGAAATTCCTCAAGAAATTAAAAACAGAGCTTCCCTATGACCCTGCAATTGCACTACTGGGTATTTACCCCAAAGATACAAATGTAGCAAAAGGAAGGGCCATCTGTACCCCAATGTTTATAGCAGCAATGGCCACGGTCGCCAAACTGTGGAAAGAACCAAGATGCCCTTCAACGGACGAATGGATAAGGAAGATGTGGTCCATATACACGATGGAGTATTATGCCTCCATCAGAAAGGACGAATACCCAACTTTTGTAGCAACATGGACGGGACTGGAAGAGATTATGCTGAGTGAAATAAGTCAAGCAGAGAGAATCAATTATCATATGGTTTCACTTATTTGCGGAGCATAACAAATAGCATGGAGGACATGGGGAGATGGAGAGGAGAAGGGAGTTGAGGGAAATTGGAAGGGGAGGTGAACCATGAGAAACTATGGACTCTGAAAAGCAACCTGAGGGTTTTGAAGGGGTGGGGGGGTGGGTTGGGGGAGCCAGGTGGTTGGTATTAAGGAGGGTACGTATTGCGTGGAGTACTGGGTGTGGCGCAAAAACAATGAATACTGTTACGCGGAAAAGAAATTAAAAAAAAAAAAAAAGATTCTCTTTCCCTCTCCTGCTGCCCTTCCATGTCCCCTCCTGTATCTCTCTCTCTCTCTCTCTCTCTCTCTCTCTCTCACACACACACGCACACACACACACACACACACACACACACACACAGTGGTGGCACACTATGTAGAATGCCACAGTTTGGTAAAGTAATTCTATGTTGATATTAAAATGTGACCAGATACACTTATCTAGACATGAGCACACATTTGACATAAATTGACTTGATAGTTTCCCAGGACTGGGGTTCTAGTTCCTGTACCTATGCCTACTCACCTACCCTCATCTATTGGATAAGTGCCTAGTTAAACAGATGGACCTTGGGCTATGTTCTCAAAACAGGCGACCTCTATCTTTATTGAGCTAAACATTGGGTAAAAGTAGCTGCATTGTGTTATTGTGCTCCTGGCCATGATAATTTGAGTGAAAAGCTACCATTCATTGTTGTTTGTTCTTGGAAATACCTTTTTCTTTATGACTGAATATGTGAAGGGTGGAAGAAAACAGTTTCAGGGATCTGGAAAACGTACAGATAGGGAAGCAGTTCTCAGTGACATATAAAAATAAATAATTTAAAAAATTAATAAATAATCAGCAGGAGTGTGAAGTGCCATATGGTTTTATAAATGTAGGTAGCTGAGATTTTAGAAAATATTTGAATTAGCCAAGAGACGTGGGTTGATCATGGAAATTCTGCCATTCACTGAAGGGTGTAGGAACCAAAATAGAATTCACAACTTCTTTCCTCATGCCCTTGCAACAAGTTACCACTTTAACAGGTACAAATTTTGATTCAGTGCAGGACATTAAGTCCTGGCTACCATCTGTGTAAATACTATACACTCTTACTGTGAAATCGGATAGATTTGGGGACCTGAGTTTCCAGAATGGTAGAAGATTTTATGACATCAGAAGTGTGTTTTATTTATGGTTGATAAATGCCATTGCTATCTAGTTCATGTTTGTGGAAATAGTACTGAGAGGAAGGCAAAAGCAGCAATTAGATTGTCCTGTCCTTGGAAGATAATATGAAATAAGATTTGATGCTCTAATATTGACATACTGATAACCTTCAAAGGCATGTGTTCTCCATACTTTTTCATGGTATTCTCTTTAGTGTTGTATAAATTATCACGTAGTTAACCTCATGGAATTATGAATATGGGCATTTGTTGCTAAAATGATCCATTATTTATTGATGGGATCAGTAACGCTTAGGTATTTGCGTCTCTTAATTACGTCAATGGTTTGTGGACAGCACACTGAAGTTCAAGTTAAAGACTCCTACTTCTCTTTCTTAAATGATTTCTTTGGTTGTTTTTTTGTTTGTTTGTTTGTTTGTTTGTTTTTTGGTAGTTCAAGTTTTTACACAAAGAAAGAGACCCTGGATGCCACACACTTTCTTTATACTGTTGTAGGATTTCTTTTTTTATAATGGCATGAGATTATGCCTAGGATACATAAGAACTCTATGGAATAAAGCTCAGTGCAGTATGTATAACCTTTTGTTTTCTGTCTGTTATAATGATTAGATAAACGTAGGCATAAGGTTGTTTACTACTTCAGCAGAAACCTGCAATGGAACTTTATGAAGATTTGACCTCTTGAAAGAAATTCAAGTGGAATTATCTTATACTTTGCTTGTTATTTGGCTTCTATAAATCTGTGTGCTAGGATAATGTGTAACTATGTAAGAAATGGCACAATATTGTTTTACAAAAATGCTTTTCTTTTCCTCAAATAAAACGTTAGTGCTAAAAGTAATAAATCTGTTACTGGTTAAGGGTTCTTACTGCACAGTGTCTTAGGATAGCTTTATTTGATGATGTTTTATTCAAATTAATATTCTTTTATGTTACATTGTCCTTTGAAACCGCTGAATTGCCTAAATAACATTATTCTATCTCTACTTGATAAATCAGAGAATATAGAAGATTAATTTAGATACAGAATAGGAAATAAAAGAGTCACAATATGTACTTCATTTTATTAGAAGGCAATACATATAAATATAGTCATTTGAAGAGAAAAAAAGAGATAGTGAATTATTTTAATTTTCATACCATCATAAAGGAGTAATAAAAGCTATCCTTATATGAAAGTACATTGTGTGAGTCTTTGTGTATTTATGAGACATGATCACCACCAGCTTTTTCTTAAACTATCTGGCATATGATAGTTCTTATGTATTATTTTATGTTTTTTGTTTGTTTTGCTTTAAATAGTTCTTATGTATTATTTAATGTTTTTATGTTTGTTTTGTTTTAAACAGCAAACGCCAGTCTCCTTGGAGGAGGAGGTGGTAAGTCCTGAACATCACTTATTTTAAAATATATTTTTTACCACACCAACCCAAGATATTAAGTAAGTTCTATGACACTTTAAAGATAATTAATTTAGTTATAATTATTAACCACAAAAGTGATAATCTTCTAGAAAATAACTTACAATAAAAGTAAATACATTGGTTTGCCTTAATGTTATTTTAAGACTTCAAAATATGTGGAATACTGTTTCTTTTCTCCTCAAACTGTATTTTACTTTGGCACAAGCTGTAACAGCCCTAAGCTATTGAGACAAATACACATGTAGTAGGTGATGGAGTCACTTTTAACATAAATTCTAAAACAGTACATTTGGAGACTTGTGGATTTAGGTATTTTTCTTTTTTCGTCATAATGACTTTAAAAATATATGGCTTTGTAGTGTGAGAGCTTGATACATCAGCCACTTACTGTGACAAATAAAAAGATATTACTCTTGGCACTTTGCTTTTTCTTTTAACTTGTTTAGAGGAGAATGAATGAGATCAAATTGAGATGAAGAAGAGAGATTCCTATACTGGGAATTTTTTTTTTTATTACTAAAATCTTGGAGATGTTGAAAGATGAAAGTTTTCCTAGTCCATCTATATATAATATAGTAGGAGGAAAACTATACAATAGAATAGGGTCTTTTTCATTTAAGACCCAGATGGATATAAATTCATTTGTTTTCTCTCTTTCTCTTTTACTCTTCTTTTCCCTTTGCTCCCTCTTTTCATGTACATAGTTGCAGTAAATGTGATTGCACAGAACTTTAGGCTTTCAAAAAATTTCCTGGCTATCATCAAGATGTTACTGGGTAAATTTTATTTGGAAACTAAAATATTAATCATTGTTCCTATATAGGAATCAATAGATTTTTAGAAAACAGAATCCTGGAAATAGAAATAATAGAAAAACAGTTCAATCTAGAAAGTACTCTTTATATTATCATGTGTTAATGCACATTCTATGGCAGAGTATTTCTTGTCTTCTTCCTTAAATTACTTTAGAAAATATAAATTGATAAGATTTCTCATTGTAATTTTGGGAAATGAGAAGGGAAAATTTTCCTTGGGAAATTTTACTGGGAATATCCCAGGAAATTTTTATTTCTAGGTGTCTCTTGTCAAGAAGACATTATTAAAATAAATTGCCCATAGTGCTGATTTTCTTACAAAACAAAATATTGGTATTTTAGCAATTTGATGAATACTGTTAAATAGGATAAATCTGTCGCATGTACAAGTAGTCTAGATGTAAACTAGACTGGTTGTATGGTAATTCCATGGTGTCATCAAGCATTCAAGCTCTTAATTTTCTGTTCTTTTTTCCTAGTACATGGAACTCAGGTCCATGGTAGTAACTGGAGTAAATAAATGGCTCTAGCCATTATAGATATGGGGGTCAGGAAGAGTACAAAAGATGACAAAAAATAAAAAAAGATGGCCCCTAAAGATGGTCATTTTCTTTAAGTAGCTTTCTCTGAAAGTCTACATTAGCCTTAAACTTATCAAAGGGTCATTAATGGATACATGTAATTTCATTCCGGGAAGAAATGCACTCATGAAAAAGTGCTTAATGTTGTATTTTCTTTTCTTTTTTTATTCTGGCCAGGTTATATTTAACTAATACTGGTTATTTCTTATCCATGATACCTTTCTATTTAAAACGTGGTGATCTTAACTGCTTTACAAAGGGAATAAAAACAATATATTTTCATAGAGGAAAATCTCAGATACACAGGTTGACATGTGCCAAGTTTAAGTCTTTTGTTTCAACCAAGCGTAGATAATCACAAACAGAATTTTAAGGAAAAAACATGCTTGTTTCAAATGACCATGGTGGGGAAGGGGGAAGAACTTGGTACTTCTGGCATACAGCAGATGGGTATTAGGTCATCTGTATTAGAGGAAGGAGTGACAAGTGGAGTGACATACTTAAAAAAGTTCTTTTTTGTTGAAACCAAGAACAGGGTCAGGAGAAGTTTCTGCAGGTTATTTAGACCTCACTACCAGAGAGAGTGAGACTCTTTCTTTCCTTCTTTTTTCCTTTCTTTACCTCTTCTCTTCTCCTCCCTTCCCCGTGCCCCATCCCTTCTTCCCCCTTTCCTTCCTATTTGTTCTTTTCTTATAGAAGAAGAGTTGACATACAGTGTTGTATTAGTTTTAAGTGTACAACATAATGAGTCAATATTTACAAACATTATGAAATGGTCACTATAAGTCTAGTTATCATCTGTTACCCTACAAAGTTGTTACAATATTATTGACTGTATTCTCTATGCTTCTCTTCTCCTCCCTTCCCCCTCCCCCATCCCTTCTTCCCCCTTTCCTTTCCCCTATGCTGCACATTACGTCCTTATGTGTTATTTATTTTATAATTGGAAGATTGTACCTCTTAATTTCTTTTACCTATTTCATCCATCCCCTTACCCTCCTGCCCTCTGGCAACCATCAGTTTGTTCTCTGTATCTTTGAGTCTGTTTTATTTTGTTTTATTGCTTATCTGTTTTGTTTTTTATTTTATTTTTTAATGATATTTTGTTTTTTAGATTCCACATATGAATGAAATCATATGGTATTTGTCTTTGTTTGACATATTTTACTTAGCATACTACCTTCTAGGTCCATCCATGTTATTGCAAGTGGCAAGATATCATTTTTTTATTGATGGGTACTATTCTGTTGTGTGTGTGTGTGCGTGCATATATATGCACACACACACACATGATCTCCTATATTTCAATCCATTCATCTGTCTCTGGATATTTACATTGCTTCCATATCTTGGCTATTGTAAATAATGCTGTGATGAACATAGGGGTGCTTGTTTCTTTGAGTTAGCCTTTTCATTTTCTTCAGATAAATACCTAAAAATGGAATTGCTAGAAGTAGTGTTCTGTTCCCTAAGAAGGAAGGGGATAGTGGAGGATTTGATAGGCAATAAGTAGTTCCTGCCATGATGGGAAGGCAGCTACTGTTCAGAAAGCCTTGCCGTGCTGCTTTGTTTTTAATGTATGGAAATACAGTTGGTGTCCATAGAACTAACTCTAGTGTTTGGCCTGTATGTCCTTATGGTTCTTCTAATCTGTGTGAGAAGATAATATCATGAATGTTTAGCAGTGTCAAGAAATTCAGGAATAGGCAAATTCAGGTTTCTATTTACCTGAAGTATATACTTTACTTCTTCCTCTAGATCGTTGATTTTGCTAAAATGCAGTTTATGCCATAATTTCTAATTTCTGAATTCTAAAATTAGTGACTTGGCATCATCATAAAGATAAATTACAAGTATTTAAGATGGCTGTAATTTCTTTCTTTAAAGTAGGTCATTGATGGGTTTAAAATTATTTATGCACTTCTAGACATGTCAGGATTGCTCTAAAGTATGTCTGATTTTTGGAAAGCTATATTTAAAAATTAAATTTAAGGAATATTTTTAGTCCTTTCTGAACGGAATTTTGGTCTTCTGATTCTATGACAAATCTTTTTAATCCTGTCAGTGATGTTTATAAAATAGTACTTAATAATCATCCAATAAAGGACAATTGAATTGATGTAATTCTCTTGGATTTAATTGAGGTTTCCTTTATTGACTTGGATTAATATCTCTTCAAAAGTCTCTAAAGGGAATAATTCTTTGATTGACTGAACAATCTGATCAAGAAAATTTGACACTGCAGGAAAAAAAATAATGTTATATTAAGTACCATTTCTTCAGGCCCTCAAGAAGGCTTTGCCCCAATTGTATGTAAGTAGTACTTGATATTTAGACAAAATAAGACAAAATCAGTGTATATAAAATTAAATTATCTGTTAAATCTTCACATTTTGTTGTTCTTTTCTGAGTGCTTATAAACCAAGAAGAGAAGTTTCCTAAAAGGCGATTAAAAAAAAAAAAAAAATGGCCTCAATCATCCTCTCAGTTCTGATTTGAAAGTGAGAGAATCTCTTCCCATTGGTGTGAATTTTTATCTTTGGGCTAGAGGTTGTTCTTTCTAGGAATTTAGTGTCACTGACTGCATTCATTATAATGAACACTGGTGATGGGGTCACAACTACCTAATCATTTCAGGTGAAATGCTTGGTAAATTTGATCATCTCTGTCTTTATTTCCTGGATATGTTAAAAGCAGAGACAAATACAAATTTCTTACAAAAGTATGTGGCTGGTCTGTGATGACTGGATTCTACCTTTCAGGAAGCCTTTACATAGCCTTTGCATACCATTATAATGCTAAAAAAAACCCCTTAGAATTTGTAATAATTTTTTACAAGCTTTCTATCATTGCTACCAGTACTACCCTGTATAGCTAGCTGTTTGGCACATTGATATATAAACCAGATAATTTAGTCATTTTATTAGTAAGCATAGGCTATATTATGTGTGGTAGCCAGTAAGCCTAAAAATCTTTGTGGCTTAATAAAATGAGTTTTATTTATTGAATAGGACTGTTGGCACTCCTAACTATCCTATAGGTGGCAATACAGAGACTCGGGCTGTTTTTATCTTGTAGCTACACCATGTGATGTGTAGCTGCTAAGAATGTCACAAAGCAGGAGGAGAGAGCTGGATGATTTTGTGAAATATATTTACAGACCAGTTTGGGAATGTCTTATATCACTGCTGTTCGTATTTCATTGGTTAGAATTCAGGCAGGTGATCCCCCAACCTAACTACAAGGAAAGTTGGGAGGAATGGAGTCTTCCAGAGTTTGCAGGAAGAAGAAATGGTGTGGTAAATACATAGCGACCATCTCTGCCACCGTGTTCAAATGAGATCAGTGTTTATTATTATTATTATTATTAAATTAATGGTGAGGAAAATGAAACTCTGGGGTATTTGCTGACTTCTTTGATGACGTACAGCTTATAAAGGGTACTTCTACTCTAGAGCTCTTTGTCTTTGCTCTGTGGTTTTTAATATGTGTTTGCTCTTTAGATTTGCTGTTTCTGTGTACAGGTAGATAACTGCTTACACCGGGAAAAATGAATGAG